ATCAAAATCGACGTTGGTCTGTGCATAATGGGGTATTCGAGTGGAAATCGAACAAGGGTTCAATGAGCGCACCAAAGAAATTGAACGATAATCGATAGGTGTATGGCCAGCTTTAGAGTGGATTTCCCTCATCGTGAGATTTCCTCTCACTTCCTGTTGTGTCTCCAGGACAGGCACTGAAGGCAATGCTCCCCAAGGCAACAGAGAAAGCAAAATAAAAAAGAGATGGGTTCTAATGATTTCTTACTCTATCCAAATCTAAAAAAAAGTGTTGGCTTTACATACACTCTAAGGACTCATGGACATGGAAGCACGAGGCTGTAGAACGTAAATTGCGGGCATATTACTGGAAACACTCCCTGGATATCCAGCTGCACCATATAGCCACCGATAGTGGTAAATAGACCTAGGTGCCTGTACTTGTATGAACCTGCACATGTATACAGGCATACACCCAGGACACAACTAGTCTGCGTCCAGAGGCCTATGTCTTTACGCATGTGTAAGTAGTGGTTCAAACCAACGTACAGCCACCTACACCCATTCACCACTATGGGCGGCTGCTACCAATGTGCATGAGGCCTACTAGTGCCATGTCTTATGCAGAAGTGGAACTCCTGGCATTTAACCCCCCATTCCCCACAGAAGTATGCTCTTTAGATTGCATGGAAACAAAATACTGTGTGGAGAATTTATCAAAACTGGAGCAGACAAAATCTGGAGCAGTTGCCCATGGCAACTAATCACCTTCTCTCTTCAGTTTGTTAAGTTAAGATTTGAAAATGTAAGAGAGACGCTGATTGGTTGCCATGCACAGCTGCTCCAGATTTTGTCTGCTCCAATTTTGATAAATTCCCCCTTTATATGTAGATGTGCAAAGGTTTGTGCTCAGGAACCTACGCCTATAGTGTAATCGCCAGTACCTGCTTTTAGAAGTGCACACCTGTACCTTATAGTGTACTGTGTCCATACAATCCTATGAAGTGAAGAACACGTCGGTTTATTGACGCTTCATGTCAAAACATATAACAATGTTTCGGGGCCACACAGGGTCCCCTTCATCAGGCTTGAAATGACGATGAAAGTAATTGCAAGCCTGATGAAGGGGACCCTGTGTGGCCCCGAAACATTGTTATTTGTTTTGACATGAAGCGTCAATAAACAGACGTGTTCTTCACTTCGATATGGTGTGCTGGTGACATCTTTAACAAGTTTCAGTATTGGCAGCGCCATCCGCGGTCACTTTGAGCGCCCACGTTGGCAGGGATACCCGGTAAGGAGTGCGGCAGGATTCTGGAATACATACAGTCCTATTGGCACGGGGCGCTGTATGACTATAATCCTGGATTTGATATTCATGGGACTGAGCCCCAACCTGCATCTAATTGAATGTTTTGTATACAATGTTGGTCTAAAAGAAACTTTTGAAATGAAATTAAAAAGGAAATGTTGTGCAATACATCAGCTGATCATTCGCTTTCTGAATTTTTTTTGTTCATCAACATTCCGTCCATTTTAGGATCTGAAATCCGAACTCATTGTGTGGATAATCAATGGTCACGCGATCCCGGGATCTAAATTAAATGAAAGGTAATATACAAGATCGAGGAACTTGCAGCTATTACCAACATCATCCGCTCACAAGCATTGAAGACAATGCTCAGGGGTCACCTCCCTCTAATCTGCCTCTCACTAATCCCCCCCCCTGGATGCTCGGTCCACTGTCACTGCAGAGACAACATCTGTCAGAGCAAAGCAGAGGCGCCCACAGACACAAGATTGGCGATCAGAAGAAGATCCAGAAAACCGAACGACTGGGGCTAAACCTGCATTTTTATGCAGCATGCAGACACTTCCGGTGCCAAAGGACACACAATAAATATGCAACTCAAGAGTTTGGACTTCACTGGCTGCATGCTTGAGTGATTCAGAAGCAGTGAAGCCAGGGGATCAATATTAACCACCAGTCATCTGGCATTTGTATGAGAAAGTCAGCAAATACATCTCCGTGGACATGTTTGCTTTATTGATGATATCAAAGGCACAAATGAATGCATCTTTTTATTCATTTACAAATGATCACCTTTTTTACCGTCAGTATTACCTGATTAGGGGAACATTGACTTGGTATCAGCCTCTTGCAGTCCCTGTATAGAAGAGCTGTTACTTTGCATAATTTAGCTAAAGACAGGTTCAATTTAAAGTGGACCAGTCATGACTGGGTTGATGCCCCAAACTGAATGCTCTGTCTTTAATACTAATAATGCAAAGGTTTATACTTCCATCTTTATTTCTCCCGGCATGGCTGACACTTTAGCAGGAGTGGCAGGGATAAGAGGTCACATGACATTAATAGCGGATAATTATGCATCTCAGCAGTTAGAAATCCTGGAAACATTTTTGACAATCTTTACTTTTTCCTGACTTTACTTGCTGCATGTTTGTTTCAGATCAGTGGCTGAGAAAGTGCCGAAGCCAGAGGTGGCAACTTCTGCATTTTCAGAACAGGGCACGTTTCTGCCAATGCAGCTTTACCTGTCAGGCCCGTTCATACCATAGCGTGGGGTTAAACGCACGATACAGTGCATTCAGCACATGTTATTTCACAACGCACCTATCGTGTAGTACCGTGCACTAGGTGCATGCATTGCCATTCATTTGAATAGCACTCCAATGCACCTCTCAGCCACTGTGCGTTCCAGCACAGCGCAACATGCGGTACTGCAATACTGTGTGTTGCCAATAAAGTAGTGCATGTACTACTTTTTTTCAATACAAAACACGGTATTCCGGTACCGCACATTGCGCTGCAACACGCAGCAGCCGGGGAGTGTGTTGGGGTGCCATTGAAATAAATAGCTTGCGCTAAACACCCTGAGGGGGATTTATCAAAACTGGAGCAGACAAAATCTGGAGCAGCTGTCTCTCTTTTCATTTTCAAATCATTTTCAACTGAATAAACTGAAGAGAGGAGCTGATTGGTTGCCATGGGCAACTGCTCCAGATTTTGTCTACTCCAGTTTTGATAAATTACCCCCACTGTATTGTGCATTTAATGCAAGGCTATGGTGTGAAGGGGCCAATAGGGCTTATTGACAACCAAACACAGAGTGCTGCAATGCATGTTTGTGTGCAGCGCTTTGCGTGTGGCAGTCTTATTACATTTAATGCGCTCTCGATGCACCTCAATTCACCCAAACAATAGGTCCTGCACCTTTTTTAACTGCAACACACAGAGAATATATATCTGTGCATTGCAGGGCGCTTTACATGTTGCAGCCCACTGTAGATGTGCAAAGAAGTGGAAATATCTTTGCATTGCAAGGCAACGCACATCTGCCGCGCCTTACCATGCGTTGCAGTAACACTTGTTATAGAAAGCACTCAGATGCTAACAAGCCTGTAATGTTTTCATATTTAATGACACATTTGGATACACGTTCTCCTTCAGGAAAACAAAGCAAGGCTAGTGTTGGAAATAACTTTGAAGGCTAAAACGCATCTTTTGCGTTTGGGTGCGTTACCACGAAGCATGTCAATGCGCCTTAATGCAACACATAGGAGTGGAGAAGTAAGTTTAAAATTTTATCAGCTATGCCTTGCCTGTCCTGCCTTGGGTAGTGATGTGTGGATGCTGGGACTTGTAGTGCCTCTGCAGCTGGGTGGATGGGAATGGCACAGGTAGTGCTGTGGTTGAGTAGGCAGGATGGCATTACCATTCTCTGCAGGATGGATGGGAAGGGGGTAAGGCACTGATGAGCTAGGAGGAGGGGTCACAGTCTGAGCCTCCAGCGGAGAGGCAGAGAGCCTCACACACCCACAGGCAGGTGCTGAACAAGGCATGGATGACTGACAAGAGCAATGTACAGCAAGCTTCCAGCCAGCAAAGGGTTAATGGCAGATCATGGTGGAGACCACTGAAGGCTGAGCATCGCTAAAAGTCGCCACAAGGTCCTGCAGGTAATGTGTTTGCCCTGGCACAAATTCCCCACCCCTGAGAGAACTGACACCCCTTGGAATTAAAATTCATTGACTTCCGCAAAAGTTGGCAAGGGAAAGCTTTGTGGGCTATCATCTGTGGGGGCGCAATAGTCTGCCCTTAGTGCAACAATCTGCAGGGGCCAGGGGGGGCAAAGTGCAAAAGTCTGCAGAATACATGCAACAGTCTGCAGCGGGCACAGAGGGCAACCAGACCACTGCGATCACGTTCAATGCAATTCAAAGCATGGTGCGATGTTCTGCAGAGGGACTGATGCTACAAATATTGCAATGGGAAAGCTTCGAAATGCCACATAGTTATCACTTTAGAAAAGGGGGGGGTATGTTGGCTCTGCATTAAAAATGCACTTTCTTTAAAATGCAGAAGGTGCTGCGGCATTCATATGGTGACGGAAAACATATATTTTGGGGTTTGCGCTACGCTCCCATCGTAATTGGACTCATGACGTCAGATGTGCTGGAGGTGCTTCTGCTTGTTGATGAAAATTCATCAACTTGTTGTAAAGTTTTAGAAAATATTACACCTTCTGTAAAATTATTTATGAACATGAAGGGGTTTAGAATTCATGACATGGTTTGAGGAATGCTGACAGTAACGCCATAAATTAAGGGGCACTTGATCCACCGGAGGTAGCGGGTACATGCAAAACATGGGGTACACTTATGAAGGGTAATGAAGCTGAGAATTGACAGTTTGCAAAAAAATTTGCTGGCAGCCTTAGCTCATTCAGCCATTGAGGAACTACACTGAGACTTGTAGTTCTTTGACAGCCGGACAGCTGCGGTGCTGTAGCGGCAGATCCCTGCGGGTGACATTAGGAGTTATGTGTATTATGTAAGTCAGCTGGCCTCTCTGCTCCGGCTTATTGAATAAGCCTGAAAGACTGATGGATTTTGCCTTGCTCGTGTTTTATTTTGTTGTTGTCATTTGTGTCTGTTTCGTGCCGTGTTCTCAGCCTGCCAGGTCTGCTGACCTTGTGTTGTTCTACTTGTTTCAGAGCTGTGAGTGACAGTGGGTGACAGCAGGTGACACCGAGTGACACATCTGTGATCCTGTCTGCGGTGACTCTGAGCAAGACACTGATAAGAGGGATCAGGTCCCGCGGGAGCTTGCAATCCAACACCGGCAGCTGAGGATGTGAAATATTGATCAGCAGCAGTCTGCGCCATGTCGTGCAGTTCGGGGGAGTGCAGGGGGCTCCCCCTCTACAGCTTCTACACGGCCCCCCCTGCCACGGACCCTATGCATTACTCCTCTGTGTCCCTTGGCTCGGATCCCCCGTTAAACAATGGCTCTGGGACCCCCTGCTCTGCCCAGGACCCCACGCTGCAGGTGAGCGGCCCCACCGGGGGCACGAAAGAAGGGCACACGGACTACTCCCCTAAGTGCTTCTACCGCCACTACCTGACTCGTACCAGCATGCAGGGCGACGTCTACAACTTCCTGGAAAGACCCAGTGGTTGCCGTTGCTTCATATACCATTTCAGTGTGTGAGTACGCTCTTAACCACCCATTCTGTCCAGTCTACAAAGTTGCGGCAAAGTCGACGCTGCCCTTGCTGGTCACCTGAGCCCTCTCTAGTGTCCCTCTTATCTCTATAGCCAGTCTCCTGTCCTCCTCCTGTCTCCATTTCACCGATAACAACTTTTACTATCTCCTCCATTTCGTGGTAGGCAGATGCGCACTTTTTGTTTTCAGGGTTTTTGTTTTCCTGCAGTCAGTAAATGAGACGGAAACCCTAACTCTGTGACATTTAATTTGTTCTGTACACTGTGTATCATAATTTTGTTTTTCATAAAATACTGATTCATATTTTTTCTCATTCTTTTTCTTATATCAGTGATGTAGATCTCCTCCAGCCTCTTTCTGCCACTTCCTGCCTACGTGCATCCTCTCCTGCGTCAGCTGCACATCATTGCTGTGGACTGGCTTCCTTATAGTGACAACGGTAGACCATGCCTGTGCAATGTGTGTTAGCATGGCAGCATGTAGTCTCCACCTTGGAGTGACAACACAGGAGCAAAACTGGGAGACGGTTGTCATTCTATCACAGGAAGTGCCCGAACAAGGACCTTATTGGCAGGATCACCAGAGATTAATGAAAGCTGAAGATTTAATTTGAAAAGATTGAAAACAACTTTTGAAATTAAATTGTTATGATTTTAGTTGCTGGGTTTAGCTCTACTTTAATGACAGCCAGGGAACTAGTATTTGAAGGGAGAGCAATAAAAGCATCCCCTGTACTTCCTCACTACAAGTGAGCTTTCCTTCAAAGCAGGGGTAGGCAACCTCGGCACTTCAGTAGTGCTGAAACCCCAAAATGCCTTTGTCTCTGGGAGTCATGCTTGAGGGTCTTAGGGTCTTGCAATGGGACTTGTAGTTCTACAGTGATTGGAGTGCCGAGGTTGCCTAGCCCTGCTTTAAGGGGTCACTTGCCGGCAAAGCAGGGTTGTACAGATCCAAATAGTCATTATTATTAGGACACTGTGTACGTTTTGGAAACATCAGTGTTAAAAGGCATCCATGTCCGTCTATGGGGGGG